GACCCCATGGACTGCAGCCCACCAGGCTCCTCCATCCATGGGATTTTCCAGGCAAGAGTACTGGAGTGGGGTGCCATTGCCTTCTCCGAAACACCTTCCTACAGCCCTGCTAATTATCTTCACAAGGTGGAATGAAGAGAAAGACCACCTATTTTGTAGAAGGTGGAGATGCTGGCAGTACAGTAGACCAGATCAACAGGCCTTTTGAACTAGGGTGTCTACCATGATTATTTTTGTAATCTGATCAGTTAATAAATAGTGACTACTTTCAAATTAAAAACAAAGAAGAAGAAAATTTCCCCTTCAATTTGTTAAACTTGAAAAAAGCAGCTAGAGGGGAATGAACAGTTTAAACTCGCTTATATTACTTTCACTTCAAAGTGGCACCAAAATCTATTATTGTTATCTGTTGCACACCACCCCCAAAACTTCGTGGCTTGAACCACAACATTGGTTTTGCTGATGAATCTGCAGTTTGGGCAGGGCTTGGCAGGAACATCTTGTCTTTGCTCCCTTGGACATCAGCTGGAATGGTGAGAAACCTAGGGGCTTGAGTCATCTGAAGGATACTCTATTCACGTGTCTGGTGGTTGAGGCAGACAGTTGACTAGGACCTCAGCTGAGACTCAGACTGGAACAACTACATGTGATTGCTTAGCTTCCTCTCATTGTGGTGGTGGGTCATAAGGATGAGCGTCCCAAGGAGAGGACTGGGCAGATTTTACCACCTTTTGTGACGTATCTCAGAAGTCATGTAGAATCTCTTCTCCTGTAGTCACAGGCCCATCCAGATTCAAGGAGTGGGAACATAGACTCTACCTCTTGATGAACAAGTTCCAATATCATAAGAATACACAGGATGGGATATATTGGGGCAACCATATTTGGCTGTCTGGCTCCAAAAATTTATATCCCTCTCCCATGGAAAATAACATTCATCCCCTCTTCAGAGACCCCTCAGCCTCATTCCAGTTTGGCATCAGTATCCCTGGATCTTGTCATACTGATCAGGTCAAGTTATAGATGAAGCCTTTTAGGGACATTACCTTGGGCACAGCTTTGTGAATACCATCCCATTCTATTTAAGGAACCTGGAACTTAAAGGACAAGCTGTCTGTCCCCCACACATCCAGTATACAGTGGTGGGATAGACATAATGTAGCTGCTGTAGGCTGGAGAAGGCAACGGCAACCCACTCCAGTACTTTTGCCTGGAAAATCCCATGGGCAGAGGAGCCTGGTGGGCTGCAGTCCATGGGGTCGCGAAGAGTTGGACATGACTGAGCGACTTCACTTTTACTTTTCACTTTCATGCATTGGAGAAGGAAATGGCAGCCCACTCCAGTGTTCTTGCCTGGAGAATCCCAGGGACGGGGGAGCCTGGTGGGCTGCCGTCTATGGGGTCGCACAGAGTCGGACACGACTGAAGTGACTTAGCAGCAGCAGCAGCTGTAGGCACACCCATTGAAAAATAGAGAAATACAAGGCAGACATGTGTCACTAGTCCCTAGCAATTCCATGGAGGCTAGTCCTCTAGGCTCTTGGCTTCCTTTTGAGCCATCCTTCTTTTTAATAAGAAGAAGCCTGTATTTGCAGATGAGCAGTTTTCTGCTGAGTGTCCATTTAGGTCACAAAGCCTTCATTTCTTCTCATTTTCTACTAGCTATATTCCTTTCAGTCTAAATTGACAGAATATTTTAAACATTTGGAATTTCTTATGAATCAATGTATAATTCACTCCTTTAGATAAAATCATATCCACAAATATCTTCACAAAAAAACCCTTCATTACTTTAGGTTCCCTGTGAGGCCGCTATGAGATAGCCCCTTATCTTTAGAGTTTTTTGACCTGTTAGAAAGGTTCAAGGAGAGCACCACCTCAGATTTTCCTCTCTTAACAAAGTCACACCTGTGGCTTCATCTTAAGGCTGTTTTCCTGACAACACCTGTGTTTGATCTTTGCCTTGAAACCATTTCTTAATTTTGATATGTAGTATTCCATCTAGGGAAACTAGGAATGAGAAACAGTTTGATTTTTCAATTAAATCTTGGCTCCTTTATATTTAACAGATCCTTCTTTGGTCATCTCTCTTCTAACATTTTATTATAGGAAATTGTGAGAAGGAATCAAATGGCATCTTTTTATATATGTTGCTCATAATTACATAATGAAAATATGAAATTTCATTTGAATGAGAAAGAGTTCAATGAGAAAACAACATTTCTCTTAGCTGAAATGTGTCATTAAAAAGGTATTAATGAGAAGGGGAATTGCATGAATGTAGTCAAAAGGTACAAAGGCTATTAGTAAGTACTAGAAATGTGATGTACAACATGATGACTACAGTTAACACTGTGTATTGTGTGTTTGAAAGTTGATAAGAGAGTATATCTTAGAAGTCCTCATCATGAGGAAAAAACTTTTTCTTCACCTATCTATATGAGGTAATAAATGTTAATTTAATTAACTATGGCAATCATATAACAGTGTATGTAAGTCAAGTCATTATCCTGTACACCTAAAACTTTCACAGTGGCTATATGTCAGTTGTTGTTGTTCAGTTGCCAAGTCGTGTCCAAGACTTTTCAATCCTGTGACTTGTAGCACACCAGGCTTCCCTGTCCTTCACTATCTCCCAGAGTTTGCTCAAANGATAATAAGTTTGGAACAAGAATGATTTTAGGATGATTGAAGATGTTCAGCCACATTTTTAAAGAAAAGTCAGGAGGGCAATTTGAGGTTGGAGTGAAAGCCCTAAATTTTGAAAGAAATCTAGAAAATGGGTCAGTTTGTTAGTGTAGCTATTTTTCCCAAGGAAGGAACCCAAGGAAGTGAGTGCACATCAGAAAATGGGTATGGTGGTTAAATAAATTGCCCAGAATGAATCATTAAGATTCAAACTGAAAAAAGTGATAGTGAACTAATCACCTATTTTATAATAATATGACTTGTTAAGGAACAAAATTCAGCTGGGTAAATTTTAAAGATCTGTTGGCTTTATTCAGTGATTCATGAATCCAGCAGCATCCCATCAACTGTTATAGGCAGAGTGGAGCAGAAAAGGGAAATCTTACTTGGCATGTGCTGATTGGTTAACGAAGGTTTATTCCCTTACATAGAATAGAGGTCTTGGGCCCCAGCCAGGTAACTTGTCCTGAACAGGAAGTGCTGACTGGTTGACCTAGTCCTTCCTTTTCTTGGAAAGCTGAGCATAGGAAATATAGTTACGTCCAGGCTTGCTAATATAGGGCTTAGCATGAATGACTCCATCTTGTGCCCAATCTTTAACAGACTTCACATTTTATAACTTTTTCTAGTATCACAGGTTGGGACTGCTGCTCAGTAACTGAAACAAATCTCACAAAGCTGTTTTCATTGCTTATTTAAGTAAGTGAGTTTGTTGGTTGGTCAAGGACATTGGGCTTTCAGTGGCAGGAGTGAGTTGGCATCAGTTGTGTGTGGTTGTGAAGGCGAGGCTGTTGTTGACTGGTTGACACTCAGAAGTGTGTTCCTGGTGTGGGTCCCTACCTGATTAACTTCCTCCCAGAAGCCAAGAGCTGTCTTGGATTGGCTGACTTTCAAAAGTGAGTTCATTGAGGCAAGTTTTTTTCATTTTTTACTGGAATTTTTTTTAAAGTGCTTCATTTATTACTTCACGGTGTGGCTCACAATCTAACTGCTCTCTGGTTGTCAGAAATTACTGAAAACCAGTGTTTAGAAAGCCTTTCACACAATCCATCCTTAGGATATACAAAGCATTTGGTGGGGGGGGGGTAAAATGTATTATGCTTTTTTGTTGTTTTTGCTATAATATTGTTACTACTAAGCTTTGTGTTTTAAGTAGTGTTGCCACAAAATCTATTATAATTTGTTTTAATGACACTTTTCATCAGTTCTGTTAACTGAAGTTAGTTAACCTGTGCACGTATAGAATAATTAACTACCATATTAAACTAATGGTAGAAATTAAAGTGTAAATAGTGTTTTGTTTACAAAACTCTTTAACCAAATTTCATCTACAATCATTGCAACCCTGTAAGGTAGGCATTGACGTTGTCATTTTACAGGGGAGAAAATGAGTGTACAGTTAACTTACCCAAGGTCAAATTCACTTAGTCAGGTGTGTCAGGGCCAAGATGTCAATCAGGACTTAACATGGTTAGGACTTTCTGTTAACTTTCTTAATGGTATTTATTGTCTTCTTCTCAATATTCAGTGTCGTCTTCAAAAACATGTTCAAAAATTACCTTCTTCTGAATGTTTCCTCTGATTACCACGTCTGGATGTTTATGTCCTAAAACCATTTTATCAATATAAGGATAGAGTTCTAAACACAGGTGTATGAAATTTTAGCAGTAGACCACTTAATTGTCTTATTTATCTCCTTGTTACTCTGTGCATTATATTCTGTTTGTTTCTTGGATTGATTTGAGGTTTTTTATTATTACATTACAGTTCAACACAAGCATCTTGCAAGTTTCAATGCCTTCATTATTGCCAGCATCTAAAGGCTTGGAAACTTCTGAAAAAGCAAAATTGCCTTCTAAGCCAGAGACTCCATTTGAGGAGAGGTATGTCATTTATTGGGCTTCCCTGGTGGCTCAGATGGTAAAGCATCTGCCTGCAATGAGGGAGACCCGGGTTCGATCCCTGGGTTGGGAAGATCCCCTGGAGAAGGAACTCCAGCCCTCTTGCCTGGAAAATTCCATGAACTGAGGAGCCTGGTAGGCTACAGTCCATGGGGTCGCAAAGAGTCGGACATGACTGAGCGCCCTAAAAAAAAAAAAAAAAGTCATTTATGACCTAACACTGCAATATGAATACTCAGAAAAGTAGATCCACCAAAAGCAGGAGTGGGCTGCATTTATTTATAGACATAATCTTTAACCCAGAGAAGCAAGAAACAGCAAGACACGGGCCAGGGAGCCCCACAGCAGTTCTCTGTTATTAAAATAAGAGGTGTGAAGCAGGAAGTAACTGAATGCTCGGCTGGGGAAGTATGCTGATCAGGTTAGAGAGGGAACTTGGCTTGTATATCCTAGGTCCCAGGTGGTCATCAAAGGACTGCAAGGAGAATAGCAACAGTCATGTTCCTGAGGCTGTTTGGAAGATGTTGTCAAGGAGCCAAGATGAGGATCCGATAGTCTCTCCCTAGGCAAATAGAATTTGGGGGGAATATGTTCCCAAATTAATTGCCTAATCTTCCAATTAGACTAAATAAAATTAAGTAGAATATTAGAAGAGAGAGAAGTAACTGTTCTTGAACAATTTTTTGTTATTGACAGTTTTGTTCGCTTGGAATATAGTCTTTTTTTTTTTCTTCATGAAACTCATCAAAATTTTTTTTTACAATATTTTAGTGATGGAATTGGTTCTGCTGCTGAAGCTCAACTGTGTGATAGTCTTGCGTAAGTTCTGTTTTATCAAATGTGAAAAATATGTTTGCTGCTTGGGACACAAAAAGTGTCTGTTACACTAACAATGACTAGTATTAGAAGCAGGTGACCCTGAGGCCTGCATGAGTGAATGCAGCCGTAATGACCAGAGCGGGTGGGGGTGGGGGTTGTAAAGAAACAAATAAATACTTGCTCTTTTACCATTATTTCATGCGAGCTTTCTGCTGATTTTGAGCCTTTCTTCATCAGTTTTCATGTGAAGTTCAGTGCTTTAAATTTCATTTTTGTACTGACCTGTAGTTTGAGTATATCTGTTAGAAAAGCGTCACAGCAGCTGGTAAGGCTGCCATGGTATTTTGTACTTTCAGCTTAATAAGCTGACCTAATGGTTACATTTATCCAAGTTAAAGTCTGGATGAAATTAGGAAAATATTTTCAGAGCCATACTCAAAGATGAGATCTTTTTTCTCCATTATCTTTTTCTTTATTTGGTAGTTGACATTTCTAGCAACGTATTTACACATAAATACATGAGAAATGCCTTTTAAAAGTTTGTTAGTATATTCCATTATCCTGTATCTTAGAGCAAAGTGATTTATTCGCTCTTGTTTTTAAACTGGTCAGATATTCCTGCCTTCAGTTTCTGAGTAACAACAGCTGCGTATAATTGAATGCAACTTATGAGAAGAGCTAGACTTTCCCAGGTGTTCACACTGTCACTGTGCCTTCACTAAGGTTTTAAATGAGTTATCGCAACAGGGATTCCTCTATTATGCTTGATTAGGACTGGAAAATAAAGTGCTTTGCCAGACTCAGAAAACTGACTCCTTTGTGAACTGAAAAGTAATACTTTTTCATCCTTTAACCTCATTAGAAGGATTAATATAAAAAGTACACAACCATTTTAAAAGTTCCTGGTGTAAATGTGTATATGCAAAGGATGCACCACTAGCCTGTGGAAAACACTGGTTTATTTTCGAATATTGACATCACAGGATAGTCCTAAGTGTTTTTCCAGCCATTCTAACGTGCGCAAGACAGTTAGAGTTATTGGCGGGACAGTTAACCACCCCTGCTTTTAAAAGAACTAAACATTATAATTTAGTTAAGTGCATAAATGACTGTCTGAATTCAGATTTTCTTTTATTACCAGGACTCCATTCACATGCAATTTTAGTTTCTTTCCAGTGCATTCTACTTAGAAGCAATGGCACCAGAACCACTTACTATTAATCATAATTATTATTGTTGTTATTTTTAGAACTTCAAGTTTGCAGAAATCTAGCAGCCTGGGCAATCTGAAGAAAGAGTCATCAGACGGGGTTGGTCCTGTGTTTTTTTCTGTCTGTTACCCTGAGGCGAAATATTTAGGGATCTTCATCTTGTCCCATTTGTGGTTTCAGTAATGGAAAAGTATTAGATACTGCAGTTAATGATAAATATTAAGGAATATGTGTGTAAAGGATTGAAAGTAATACATAAAGTCAAATGTGGAGACATTAATAAAGTATTGTAGAAATTAAGTAAAGATGAGATTTTGTAGCCCTGAAATAGATGTAAATTTATTTTAATTTGTTGAATTATATGTGAGAAATTCTAAATAGATTAATTCCTATAACAATATTTAACTACTGTTGTTGTTTTGAACAGGAAAAGGAGTCTATTCCAAAGCCTTCAGAAGTAAGTTTTATGTCCAGATTACAATGTAGAAATGTTTGAGAGTTCTAATACATACATCAGACTTCTTAATACATAATGCATAAGATTGCTTAATATATAAAACATAAGACTACTTAAATGTCTCCAATAAAGTAAAATTCTAAGAACCTGCAAAACATGCCAAATGAATGAATCTCAACACAAAAGGTCACATATTATATGATCCCATTTATGTAAAATACCAGAATAGGTAAATCCATAGAGATAGAACACAAATTTGTGGTTGTCAGGGGTGGAGGAGAGAGGATGGGGAGAAACTGCATAGTGAATAAGGGGTTTTACTTTAGAATGATGGAAATGTTTTAGAACTAGGTAGAGGTGTTGGTTCCACAACACTATGAATGTGCTAAATGCGACTGCATTTGCTCACTTTAAAATAGTTACTTTTGACTTTGCTGGTCCAGTGATTGAGACTCCGCACTTCCAATGCAGGAGTCATGGCTTTGATCCCTGGTTGAGGAACCAAGATCCCCCAAGCCATGTGGCACAGCCAAAAATTAAAATAGTTACTTTAATGTTATATGACTTTCATGTCAATAAGAACAAAATAAAAGCGAAGCTCCAAACTCTTGGTTATGCTACTTGATGACAGTAACAACCAAACCTGGGTTTCCTTACACTTCACAAAAAGCCCTTCTTAGAAAGGTCACCAGCTGTTTGTATTATATAACCAGGGTCTATCCACAGCAGACATTCTGGTATTTTAAAGACATTGTCAGCATGGGTTCTGGCTCTTCTTTCTTCTCTTTTTCAAATGTTGACCTTGCACAGTCTGGTAAGCACTCTCTCCAGATGCAGTCTCTCACTGTTGGCTCTTAACTGCCTTGAGTCATGAGTAGGNTGCAGTCTCTCACTGTTGGCTCTTAACTGCCTTGAGTCATGAGTAGGTGTAACTAACAAAGCACAGAAAGTAGATCCAGCCACAATTCATGTCATTGTTCTTTTTGTCTTGCTAATTCAGTAAGTGGTGTGGAATGATGTTGACATAGGGCATTGAGACATAGATAAGAGAATCACTGAATTGTGCCATCCGTACATGTTTGGTTACTATGAATGGTAGAAATGTAGAGAAAAATATCCACCTTAAAAGCTTGTTGCTCCTTGCCCTTCTCTCTATTTCTGCAGAAAAGAGAGAGGACAAGAGATGTTCAAGAAATGAGAACATGCAGACAAAAGAATCCTTGGATAATACTAAAAACAGTATAATTACCAATTTAAATAACCAGAAAGCTCAAAATTAAGTTACAGGCAGACCTCGGAGATATTATATGTTCAGGCCCATGCCACCACAATAAAGCAAATATTGCAATAAAGTGAGTCACACAAACATTTTGGTTCCCAGTGCATATAAAAGCTACATTTACACTATACTACCATAATCTATTACATCTGCAGTGGCATGATACGAACAAAAACCATGTACATACCTTCATTAAAAGGTGCTGGAAAATGCTAACCATGATCTGAGCCTTCAGCAGGCTGTCACCTTTTAACAATAGTAACATCAAAGGTCACCGATCACAGATTTCCCTAACAAACATAATATTAACAGAAAAGCTTGAAAGATTGTGAGAATTACCAAAATGTGTCATGGGGACACAAAGTGAGCACATACTGTTGGAAAAATAGCTCTAATGCAGGGCTGCCACACACTTGAAGTTTGTTAAAAACACAATATCGGCAAGGCACAATAAAGGGAGATGCAATAAAATGAGGTATACCTGTATTTAAAATCACAGTTAAAATTCTTGAAAAGGATTTTGAAATATTGTGAGGATCTCAAGTGGCTTCTGAATCAATCAAGATAAATTTAATTTCAGTGTATTTCATTTTAATGGTTAATCATATTTGAATCTATCACAGTCATTGAAAACCAGTGATCCATGTTTAGTAGCTTGCAGGTGAGATATGACTATAACCCAAAATCCCATTTCAAAATTATATACCTTAAATAGTTGCTGCTTGTGCTTTCATTTTATCATTAATTCTTTGAGAGAAAATATTTAAAATACATGGAGTAGAAATAACTGGAGTTCTTATACTGCTGGTATAGAAGGTCAGGACTAATGTCTACTTTATAGAATAATTACATTATATTGGGATTTTATTGTTGTAATTATAAAGACTGTGAACTATATCATAACCAGATCTTTGTCATGATTATTAGGAAAGTAGGAAATCTGCTGCTACTTCAGTGATGTAATGTTTTATCTCTGTCTTTGAGGGAATGAGGCAATTAAATTAAAATAAAATTCGAGAATGTCTATATCTATCCTAAATACTTAAAGCCCTAAACACATGGATTAAGATTGGTGATGACCATGTTTTTGTTGTTGTTCCTTAAGTAAAAATCAGAATTGACTTTTTAAACTCCTAACAGGACATTTGACATTCATAATGAATGTGTTGGTTCAGTTATCCTTTTTTAGCTAAAATCACGTNCAGTGTGGCGCCCGCCCTCCCTCTCACTGTGCATTTTGTGAGTAGGAGTTTGATCTGTGTTTCATTTTGTCATTCCCCTGTGTTCTCTCCATTGCGCTGCGTGTGATTGTGTGCGTTGTTGGGATTTCTGAAGATCGTAAACGAAGTGCCAGTGCACCCACCTTAGGTACCGTACCCCTGCATGCCTGCCTTCGCCAGCGCTGTGCTCCCAACCGAGCTAATCCCTGCTCTTGGCATCTTGATCTCTAGACAGTGAGCTGGCAGCATCACAATATGCTCCAGAGTGTTCCTTCCACCTTCCGCTCACCAGGACTCTCTGTAGAGCCTCCGCTTCTAAGCCTAAATGCTGCTGTAACCCATGCTAATGGCACCTTGCAAGCAGCTCTCTGAGGACCAAATGTGCCCAGCGGCTGGCAGAGTGCAGGGCAGGAGTGTCCTGGCGTCATAAATCCAGCTCCTTCACCCCAAAGTACATCACATCACTCTAACTCCCAGGGCCTTGCAGCTCCTCCTTGTCGGTAACATTTCCCGAGACTCCAGAAAGACATGTTTTTAGCTGAACAGGTCTGTGGAAGACACCAAAAATGATCATTTTAGACTTACTTCTCTTAGAGGAACATCCTTCTGACATATTGTTTTGAAGATGGAGGTGACATTTAGTTACAGCAATATCTGAGGAGTCAACCCCAAAGCGATTTTAGGAAAGGGAAAGCTCAGTTTTCCTTTTTAAAGAATACAGTGGTAGGGAGGTTATCCTCAAAATAAATAAAAACACAGTGCTTTTAAAATGAGGGGAAGCTGGGCAGCATTTTCAGAGACCCCAGTACCTCTCTCATGGCTATAGGGTTTGAATGGATAGATTACATTGGATTTTCCCAATAGGTCCTATTACCTTGTGTAGGTAATATACACATATTAATATGGGTCAACAAGAGTGACTTCTCTCTCTTCATAGACTTAAATGTCCAGCGTATACACAGGGTGAATGAAAATGATCTATCCAGACAACTGTTCTCAAATGTGTTTGCATCTTTCTTAGGAGAAATGTATTGTTGATGCTGAGAAGCCAATCAATGCTGCTTACCATAACCTATAGTCACAGCTCTGCTTCATAGACAAGTCAGCCTTTGCAACTTTTAGATCTTGCTGAAACACTGTCCCTGTGATTTTTGTACAACTTTTACTTTGCTTTGTAAAAGTGCATATTCTCACATCGAGGAATCAGCATCCTTGTCTTTGCTAGTGTGAGATCGACAGCTAAACAAATGAGGAGAGTTGATGCTGGGAAGTCTGAGGATAGCAGATTTGGATGTTATTCTTTTAAGGCAAAATCAACAGGCACTAGTTTCATATAAAAAAAATTTAATAAAAAACAACAAAAATTTATGACTATCCAATTCATTCTTTTCTCAGTTCCTGGAACATAACAGGTGATAATTAAGAATAAATTTCTTAAATAAAGAATTCCTAGAACTTGGTAACCAATTTGATGTAAATGCCAAAGGGGAGAAGGGAATGAAAAGAAAATGACAAAGAGGTTGGACTGGAGTAACAGGGAGAAAATTACCTGGTATTAATGAAATATGAAATAAGAAAATCTAAAAGAAGACTCTCAGGAAAATTGGATGGATTTGTTAAGTCCCAGGTACTCTTGGCACACCAAATTGGGAATATCCGCTGACATTCAGATACGGAAGCTGGGGAGAGAGATTATCAGGCTCAGAGATTCTGATAACCCGTTGCTTTGTTCATGAAATGAGCAAAGCCATCATTTCATGCTGAGCATAGAGTGGGTGAGTCTGTCAAAAGATCCTGCAGAAGGAACCCAGGAGAGAATCTTGGAGTGAAAGAGAAAGAGAAAACAGCACTACAGCAAAGAAACTTGCAGATGACAGATATAGGAACGTGTCGTGTCAGGAAGCCAAAGGAGAGGATGGCTTTGTAGGAAGTAGTCAACAGTACCGAGTACTGCAGTAATTTTGAAAATAATTTCATTATGGATTCAAATCAGTCAAGGAAAGAGTATGGTAATGCTATTTTACCTTTTATCTCAAAGAAGATGTAATTTCCAAGTTAATAAACTTGATACACAACAAAGTAGATGGTAGAGAAGGATGTAGATTTGTGTTCCATTTTTAATATTTACAGGGTGCTCTTCATAGGTCACCAGTTTATAGATCAACAGAAGAAGAATTCTTAACAGTTGCTTAAACCGAGGAGGTTAACATCTAGGCATGCTCATCTCATATTTTAAATTTCATCAAGTATGTATTCTGTTCTTGGAATAGCTGAAACGGAAAAGGAGACACCCGAGCATTTAGATCTGGCTGGTGTATCTTCTCGGCCGAAAAATTCCCAGGGAAGTAGTCCCTTCCAGATGTCTCCACCATCTCCAGATTCCAAGAAGAAATCCCGGGGTATTATGAGACTCTTCGGAAAGTAAGTAACAGAGCTTTGTCTTATATGTGGCTCAAATGTAGGGATGATTGGAAAACTGGCTAAAAATGGTTACAAAACTTCGGGGCTTTTGTGATCCTTTTACAGAGGGAAGATTGTGACTTGGGATTCATTAATTCATTGAGTCTCAAAGTTTAAATCCAAATGTCCTTTCTAACCATACATATACAAGCATCAGTTTAAAATGTTCAAATTAAAGTCAAAGGCGTCTTCAGGTCTAATGTGATGTGTCTTCTTTACAGACTTAGGAGAAGTCAGTCCACTACATTCAACCCAGATGACATGTCTGAGTCTGAATTCAAAAGAGGAGGGACAAGGGCAACTGCGGGGCCCCGACTGGGTTGGTCTCGTGATTTGGGACAGTCTAACAGGTAGGAACAGCCACACCCATGGACATGTGCATCACCTCCCAAGCATCAAGGTCTCATGAGCATCTGCAGTGTTATTATTGACCCTGGGCTAGACAGCCGAATCCTTTGCTTACTGCTGTGCCTGTGGAAACCTCTACCATCTTTAGAGCAGTGCCATTTGACTGTGGTTAATGAGAAACTATACAGAAGGTGAGGGCTCTGTGAGCTAGGCGAGTAACCTGAGCTGAGATGTCAGCAACATCCATACTAGAATGGCTTTTGGATTTAAATTTTACATAAAAAATAATTATAGGAACTCTAAAGTGTAGCTCTGGAAAGATGGGAAAGTGTAGTAAGAATAGGTTCTACAGACTTGTGGTTGCCAAGGGGAGGAGGAGGGATGGAATGGAAGTTTAGGATTAGCGGATGCAAACTATTATATATATGATAGACAAACAACAAGGTCCTACGGTATAGCATAGGGAACCATATTCAAAAGCCTATAATAAACTGTAATGGAAATGACTATGAAAAAGGATATATATATGTATATATATATATATATGTATATATATATATATTTATATATCTGAATTACTTTGCTTCACACCAGAAACTAACTCAGCATTGTAACTCAACTATAATTAAGGGAAAAAAAAAAGAGAGAATATGTTCTAGAGATAAACTGGTTGGACCTGATTTCTGACTTCACCACTTCTTGTAAGCTGAGTGACCTTAACCAATTACTTTCATGCTGTCTGCCTCTGTTTCCCATAGTATGAATTAGTACTTACCCCAGAAAGATTATTGTGATGATTGAATGAGTGAATATGCTCTAAGTATCTGGCAAAAAAATAACTGTTCAGTATACATTAACAGGGCTTCCCTGGTGGCTTAGTCGGTAAAGAATCTGCCTGCAATGCAGGAGACCACCTGCAGCATAGGAGACCTGGATTTGATCCCTGGGTCAGGAAGATCCTGTGGAGAAGGAAATGACAACCCTCTCCAATATTCTTACCTGGGGAATTCCATGGATAGAGAAACCTGGCGGGCTGCAGTCCATGGGGTTGCAAGAGTGGGGAACGACTTAGCAACTAAACCGCCAAACATTAACCGTTAATAGATTCTGTGAAAGCACTTAAAAAGACATACATTCTATTGGAATTCACTTTACCAGGACTGTGTAATGTTTTATCTGTTAAGACTCTAAGAACTTTTCCTACACCTTTATCCCAGTTTAGGGCTGGTTTGGAACTGCTCCACAGACTCGCTAAACATCAAAGGGTGTGGTTGGCAAACATATAGCACAAGTCATTGATACTAAATCTTTAAAAAGAGAATAGGCTTGAAACCTTTTACACATGGTCCCTCCCACCCAGGCAGAACACTGGGCACCAGTTTCATCAAGGAGGAAACTCTCTTTGGCCTTCTTCAAACACTGCAGTCTCGTTTGCCATATGTTCTCTTTGTACACAGTAGAGGAACTCTTTGTGCTGTTCTAAAAAGAAGTTTTCTTGTTCATTGCCACACTGTTTTTTTCCAAACAAGAATGCTATTTGTAAAAATAGCATAAGAAGCTAATACAATATTGTAAATCAACTAGATTCCAGATTAAAAATTAACTTAAAAAAGCAAAAGAAAGCAAAAATTTACTTTGATTGCACTTTCTCATACTCAGTAATGGCACATTGCCCTCTTCTCAATGAATACCATGTGGAGAGAAATCGTAGTTCTACTAAAGTTAATTCAGGTTAGACTTGAGTTTCTTTCAGTCTGATCTAGTGTTCTCTGAAGATTCAACCTCTAAACAACATTGGTTGATACTAGTATACAACCTTGATCTGTTCGTTTAACTCCGTCTTCTTCCATAGGACATGGTCTTGTTTAATCATGTTGAATCTTTTGTGGCTTTGTTTGACACAAGGGAGAGTTCATCTCCCTTGTGAGGAAGTATCATTTCCTTCACCAAATGCATCCTCAAAATTAGACTTTTCATAGTCAGCTGGAAATCTCTGTATCTATTGAACATGCAGTTGTTCTGCCCTCATGATAAGTTACAGGATTGGCTTTGAATTGTTTTTTCATATGATTATTCATTTTCCCATAGTGACTTGGATATGCCATTTGCCAAGTGGACCAAGGATCAGGTTTGCAGTTGGCTGGTGGAACAGGGTTTGGGGTCTTACCTGAATTCTGGCAAGCACTGGATTGCATCTGGCCAGACACTTTTGCAGGCTTCTCAACAAGACCTAGAGAAGGTGAATGCCTCTATTTTGTTTATGCAGTGAAGACAGAGAGAAAATGTGAATATTGGCTTGTTTTATTTTCTAGAAAGGGAAGTGGGTAGGTCTAGTAAGTACTCTGCAAAAAGCTTGAGTTTCTTGCTTTGTGTTTATTTTATCTCGTGGACTTAAAAATGGAGGACCCGGTCTTAATGATTCCCTTGAGACACTTAAGCCACTGGGCATTTTAATGAAAGAATAATTATAGAGCCATAATCATAAAGTTTCAGTTCATATTCTTAAAACCATTCTGTGGCTTTATCAATGGTCCATCTTCTCAATGTAATATGTGCAATTCAATTGCACTTTGCACAAGGGAGAAAAGCCCCACATTTTATGTCCAGTTATTTAACATTTCTTCCCAATTATTTAACATCTGGTACAAAATAAGAATGGGCTTCCCAGGTGACATTAGTGGTAAAGAACCTGTCTGCTAATGCATGTTAGATATAAGAGATGTGGGCTCGATCCCTGGATTGGGAAGATGCCCTGGAGGAGGGCATGGCAACCCACTCCAGTGTTCTTGCCTGGAGAATCCCATGGATGGAGGACCCTGGTGGGCTATAGTCCATAGGATCGCAAAGAGTCAGACACAACTGAAGCAGCTTAGCACACACGCACAAAATGAGTAGTAGAATTTGTGTTATGCATCCTGCAGTTCCAGTCTTGCAAAGGAAGGAACCTAGTGGGAATGTCTAACATACCACTAAATCAACTTCTGTGGTCTTGGCTTTCCAGGAGCCTTTTATTCAGCAACATTTTATAGCTGGGGTTAGTATTCTGATTTAATGTAATTAAATAATGTAATTATTGAGTTTTCAATACTAGCTTGATTTGGGAGGAACTGGCATCCTTTGCCAATGGCCGCCAGCCTATGTTGACAGAGCTATAATGCTGGTGTTTCTGTTCACTATTTCAGGAGCTTGGAATCAAGCATTCCCTTCATCGAAAGAAACTCCAGCTGGCACTGCAAGCCCTGGGATCTGAAGAAGAAACCAATCATGGAAAGCTGGATTTCAACTGGGTCACTAGTAAGAGGTTTTCAATTCATGAATGAGTGTGTATAAAAGTATACACACGCACACACATACACACACATATGTAGCTGCTCTTTCTTTTTCATCACAAGAACCAATGTTCTTTGTCTCCTTAACGGAACTCATTTCTATCCATAGGATGGTTGGATGATATTGGCCTCCCCCAGTACAAGACCCAGTTTGATGAAGGACGGGTAGATGGTCGAATGCTTCATTACATGACTGTTGTAAGTGACTCACTTCTGGGGTTTGGGGAGGCTAAAGTTGCTTTTCTCTGAAAAATACAGAAATCGAGTAAGCAAAATACAATGTTTTCACAATGGTTCCACCAGATTTTGAAGGTATTGCTTTAACTTGAGGAGAGGGGCAGGCAGATTTTTCTATGTTGTGGGATTTGGTGATTGTAGTAGGCTTGGGAAATTTTGAAACCCTGACTTAAGCTACATAAAACTTTATATATATTCAACAATGTAGACATTGATGTGTACACTTCTGAATGGTTGCGTTTTATGATATAGAATAACATCCCATAAAAAGATTTAAAATTGAAAGTAGAGTTTTGCAGCCCTGGCACTTTCTAAGTAGTACACTCCTATTAGTAGTGACCACTGGAAAAGCTGCCCTTCTGACAGTTCTGCTAGAACTGTCTTTTCCCTTCCCTTCCACTTTTGAGAACGATTTCCTGAAACCCCCTAGCCCTTCTCACTTCAGCCCAGTTCTGCTGGAGTGAAGAGACAGGGAAAGGTAGGACTTCACTCGGATTCCTTCCTTACTGTTGTGTACTTCTAGCCTTCTGTCCAATGGATAGAAAAACTTTTCCCTACTTTACAACAGCAGGGAGAGATGGGTTGCAGGAGAACTTGTTTTAGACTCCATGGTACTAGGAGTGTCCTGCTTAAGATACTTTTTTTTAAATGGCTTTTTTGTGGTCTAGGATATGGATCCAGCTACCACAAGTGTCTTTTTTTTTTTTTTTAAAACAGTGGAAACTGTTAATTTTATTGACTTGGACCTTGCTGTTTATTTGGTGAAAGCTGTTAAAAATTGCTCTAATTACTTTTGAACAAAATTTTAAAATTAAATATGAAAGTCTTATAGTATATTTTTCTCTTAATTTGTATAAGAATCATATACCCATATTAACTTTCCATTATTTTTTATATAATAGCTTTATTTTTTTAATTGGAATATAATTGCTTTACAATTTCTACTGTATTGTAAAGTTTCTACTGTATAGTTTCTAGTGTATAACACTGAATCAGCTATAGGTATACAGGCATCCCCTCTGTCTTGGACCTCCCTCTCCCACCCCCATCCTACCCCTCTAGGTCATCACAGAGCATTGAGCTGAACTCCTGTATTATATAGCAGTTTCCTGCTAGCTTTCTGATTTACACATTGCAGTGTATATATATATATCGATGATATTCTCTCAATTCAGACAAGTATCTTTTTAAAATAAGTGGAAAGTTTCAAAGAGCTAATTTATTGAGGAATTTTTCAATATCAAAGAAAGTTGGGGTCCAGCTCATTTTCTTCTCCATCACTGAAACAAAAGTTTGAACCGTCGTGGGCACATCATGTTAATTACAGGTGAAATAACACCAACGTGTGGTGTGTTGCACATTTGCTGTGTGCCAGGCACTCTTTTAAACTCTTTACTCATCATTAATGCTCAGGTATCAGCAATACACGAGGTAGCACTCTGTTATGCCCAGCTTTTAGATGAGGAAACAAAAGAACTGAGAAATCGGGTAACTGAATCATGTTGCCACTGTTAGAAAGTAGTGGAAAGGCAGAGTGCATTGGTGGCCGTTGGCCTGCCTGCTTAGGAATGAGGATGTTCAGACTGAGAACAGTGTGAATGTGAGCAAATTCAGACTGAAAATCACAAAAGGCAAGCATAATTTTCATGTCTATGAAAGAATAAATTGCCTTAGAAGATTTGACCCCAGAAATCCTAAGTGATAAAAAAATCTGTTTGTATACAGTGTCCTGTATTGAATCCTGGGTCAGAAAAAGGGACTAGTAGAAAAAGTGGAGACGTCTGTGTAAAGCCTGGGTTTAATTGAATTTCATTCTTGTCTGTGTTAATTTCTTAGTTTTGCTGACTCTCATGGTTGTATAGAGCATGGCATATAGAGTTAACATTAGAGCAAGCTGAGCAGAGGGTGTGTGGGACTGTGTACTATCTTTGGCAACTTTTCTGTGAATCTAAAATCACTTAAAAATAAAGGATTTTTTAAAAAAATCCTCCCCTCAAAAAAGTGTGTTTTGATTGAAAAGAAAAATGGTCCCTACTTTTAAAATCCCTTAAACTAAAATAATTAACATTTTATTTACACTATAAACATTATGCATTTTGATTTTTCTCTTCAATCTGACAGACTTCAGTTGGTTGAGAATAGCCCACGTGGAAATGTTTTGAATAGATGTGTCAATCTTAGATTAAAATATGGTAAATGCCCTTTCTAACTGATCATCAAGCACTGCTTTTAAGAAGTCAGCCTAATAACACAAAGATACACAACTATACTCCAATATAAAATAAAAGTTACATTAAAAAAAAAGAACTTAATCTAGAAAAAAGCTCAGGAAATTATTTTTGCTTGGATTTAAGCTGTCTTATCATTTTATGTTTAAAATATCTCTGTAATAGGTTAATTTTTCCCATATAGGATATGTGTTCTTGAAGTTATGGAACTTCAAGGGGGGAGGATGGATGGGGAAAGGACAGTTAGGGACTTTGGGATGGACATGTACACACTGCTATATTTAAAATGGATAACCAACAAAGACCTACTATATAGCACATGGAATTCTGCTCAATGTTATGTGGTGGCGGGATAGGAGAGGAGTTCAGGGGAGAATGGATACATGCATGTGTTTGGCTGAATCCCTTTGTTGTCTACCTGAAATTATGACAGCGTTGTTAATTGGCTATACCCCAATACAAAATAAAAAGTTTTTTTGTTTTTGTTTTTTAAAGAAAAGAAAACAAATGTGTTTTCTGTAAAGTATGCCTAAAGTGGATATTTTCCTTTTTTATTTTCTGGGTGGGTTTGGAAGTAGACTGGTATTTACCTTGACACTGCCTCCCCCATCACCTTCTTGTAAAATACTTTGTTTTGGTGTGTTTGAGAAGTTCCCTATAGCCACAGACTGGTGAAAGTTATTCCTTAAAGGAATTGCTTGGCGATATATGTTGCTACTTATAACATCTTCATTTCTCTTCTCTCTCTACCTCTCACCAAAAGCTTTGCATTGATTAAGATAACTTTTCCCAAACTGTTCACACTGTCCGCTGGATAAAGCACAGTAATCTAGAACCAGAGATTTCTTAAGGCTGGGGGATGGTATAACAGGAACAGTCTTCTGGTTTCCCTCCAAACTGTGCTATGCCGCAGCTCAGAGAACCAGCTCTCAGTCATCAGTGAAGATCACTTGCACCCAGTTATCTGCTTTATCAGATCACGTCAAAGCGGGTCACTTTTCATAGTGGCTTAGCTACTGCTTTTCACACTGCGTGTTTCAGAGCTGTTTGGGCCTAACATCTTACCTCAGCAGAAGAGAGATAAACAGGTAGAAGTCAAGTTCAGTTGGAACAATGTGAATTTTGGTTCTCTTCTATTAATATATTGGGGTCCTGGAGAAAATTTTGTTCAGAACAGGAAAAAGGGTTCTGTTACCAAATAAAAACTTTGAAAAACCTGACGAGCCCTCGAGGCCCATTGGAGGGGCCCTTCTATTTTTACTTGAGTTTTCTGAGATCTTCCCGAGAAGGTGCTCCTGCTCTAGGCCATCTCAGTTTTTTGTTCTGTTTTGCAGGATGACTTACTGTCTTTGAAGGTCGTGAGTGTGCTGCACCATCTCAGTATCAAAAGGGCCATCCAGGTCCTAAGGATCAATAACTTTGAGCCAAACTGTCTACGGAGGCGACCCTCTGACGAGGTAGCACCTGAGGCTGAGGTTTCCACAGCCCCTCCTTTCCAGTGTGTGACAGGCCGGGTGGAAAAACTAAGACCCATTTTTCCTTCTCGATGCCTACACAGAAGGGAGACTTCTGGCTCCCTCAGAGCCTCAAATCCAGCCTCATTTACTTCTTAGGCTTTGTACTTCTGTATTCCTTCCTTTGGGCTTGTCTGGTGGCTCAGTCACTAAAGAATCTGCCTGCAGTGCAGGAGACCCAGGTTCAATCCCTGGGTTGGGAAGATCCCCTAGAGGAGGAAATGGCAACCCACTCCAGTACTCATGCCTGGAGAATTCCATGGACAGAGGGGCCTGGTGGGCTACAGTCCATGGGGTCGCAAAGAGCTGGACAAAACCGAGCACACACGCGTTCCTTCCTTTCCCCCACGATGGTTCTGCCTGGGTAACTGAACTGTGTTTTAGATGTACTTCCTCCTTTCTTGGGAACATTTTATTTTTCTGCCTCTTTAAGCCACAAAGTTAACTATCACTATGAAGACTTCCTTTCCTAGAACACTGCTTTACTAGTATGTAAAAAACTTAAAACTCTGGGACATAGATTCATTAAAGGAGTGTTCAAGTTAGCAAACAACCTTTTTACCTTTACACTAAACTCCTCTCCATGAGGCAGGTTCTTTACTTTTTTTTTACTTTATTAAAATACTGAGTTTATTTCACATTATATTCTTATCTTCTCACCATTTCTATTTGTCTGGCATACATACTTAAAACCTGGAGTTCCATCTTTACAAACTAAATTGGCATTTTGGATAACACATTGTTGGCAATGGAACCTAGACAACGTTTATCAGATACGACAGAGAAAGTTCTCACTCTTATAAAAAGGACAGCTAGATATCAGCTGTTGCAGAAATGAATTAAGATGGAAAATTTTAACAAAATGTTTAACCTGTTTTCTTAAAGAGGCTTCCTCCCCTGAGGCAGGCTCTGTAGAATTGGCAGGCAGGTTTAATATTTGGAATCCCGTAGTCAGTGACTAAAGCTCTGGGTGGTTGTTTGTCCCCATAGAACAGCATCACCCCATCGGAAGTTCAGCAGTGGACCAATCATCGAGTGATGGAGTGGCTGCGCTCTGTGGACCTGGCGGAATATGCCCCCAACCTCAGAGGCAGTGGTGTCCATGGTGGGCTCATGGTAAAACTGCTTTCATTTAAAATTGACTCCTTATCATTTTGTTTCCATTAGTCTAGTGAGTAGGAGATTATCAGTTGATTGTCATAATCCTGAAGTCACCTAACTGAACCTTTCGGCACCATTTCTAGTGAATCTTTACTTTGAGAAGATTCTTCCCCATATTTTAAAATTAATACCACCATATAATCTGGATTGAGTTTAAGCTGATTTCTCTTTTACTGTCCTCACTGATGTTGGATAACGCCTGGCCATCGGCTTGCACACGATCCTGTTTTAAAACCCTTGGAGGGATACTGCATTGCTGCACCTTGATGTTGCATGAGGAGTTGGTTCCCAAGGTGCCACTGCAGAGGTAGAAGCCCCAGCTTTGTCAGAACCAGCCCTGCTCACTAGCTTAGGCAAAACGAAGAAAAGGTACCTAAATTGAAGATCAAAGTCCACAGTTTGTCCTCACCAGGCTGTCCAGAGAGTCACTGGAGATAACTAAATGAAAGAACTTTGCAGACTATAAAGCACGATCCAGGCATGTGTGATCCATGGTGCCTTCAACAATCTTAATTTTTCCTGTAGGTTCTAGAACCTCGTTTTAATGTAGAAACAATGGCTCAGTTACTGAACATCCCACCAAGTAAGACCCTATTGCGAAGACATCTGGCCACTCACTTCAACCTTCTGATTGGTGCGGAGGCCCAGCACCAGAAGCGGGATGCCATGGAGTTACCAGATTACGTGCTTCTAACCGCAACCGCCAAAGTGAAGGTTGGTTCAAGCTCCTACCATTTTATAATTGCCTATAGCAAAGACTCAGTCTTGGCTGTTACCTGGCTATCCCATTTTCTTCGGTTTTCTAAGTTTTGTGGATGAGTTGAAGGTAAATGATTCTTTAAGAGTAATTAGGAAAATCCATTTTTGAAGGCTTCCTTCTGGAGGGATCTTTGCTCAAATTATTTATTTTATTAGAGTTAACAGGAGTAAAGAACATGATATGACGTCTACCATTGACTTTTTTGCCAATGCAGAAAGTCCATATCTTGGGCCCAATATTGATTGCTGTTATCCTATGGATAAATCAAGCATAAGAGGAGGATTTTTTTTTTTTTTTCTCATAAATAACCAGACTTGCAAGTTAGGAAAGGATACTCAAGCAGTGATTCAAGGTAGACCAGCACAGAGTAGATATCTTCAGATTTACCTGGATTCATGGATCACACCAAGTTCAGATCACTTTTTGTTTTTTAAATCACTCTTCTGTGAACGCTTCTGAGTCTGTTATATCAACTAAGTTAATGTGAAGATAGGGTTTATCAGTTCCTCCACAAATGTGGCTCCTCCACTAACCCCTTTTATTTATTTATTTATTTAAAATATTTATTCATTTATTTGGCTGCACCAGGTCTTAGTTGCAGCATGTGGGATCTGGTTCCCTGACCAGGGATCGAACCTGGGCCCCCTGCATTGGGAGCTCAGAGTCTTAACCACTGGGCCAGCAGGGAAGTCCCTCCACTAACCCCTTTTAAAAGAAAAACAAAACCACTCCCTCCACCCACTCAGTACTTTCTCTTTAGCTCCCTTTCTCCCTTAAAAAATGTATCAGATTTGAAACCTCTGAGTCTGTTCTGTATAAATTCTCAACATCAGCATCTCCTTTAAATACAGTCTCAGGTACTATCCAGTGAAAAGATGGATTGTTTTCTTCTCTCAAAGTTTTCTCCCGGAAAATGAGGGCTTCTTTCAGCAGTTACTGGTATGGATAATCATAGCCTCACTCAAAAAAAAAATACAGTAATGGCTCGTGCCTCTTTTTGACCTTGCAAAATTGGATTCAGCCCCGAGAAATCTCATTGCATTAAGGTCAATCACAATTAAGGCTCTTGGCTTTTCAACAGTGACTACCCAGCTAGTGATGTGAGTAAGGAGAACAAGCTTAACTTTCTGAGATTCATAATGAGGATCATTTATCATATTTGGGTGTGAATCATATGCCTGAGATGTCTTTGTTTTTCTTATACCCATTCAGTCATCGGATTGCTTCTCTTGGTGGTGTGAATACTTAGATTATATGTGTTACTGGTCCTTTGTCATGTGAATGTTATTAAGTCCCTGGTTGTTTTTGTTTGCTTTTCTTTTAAAGCCAAAGAAGCTTACCTTCAGCAATTTTGGGAACCTGAGAAAGAAGAAACAGGAAGATGGGGAGGAATATGTTTGTCCGATGGAGTTGGGACAGGCATCAGGAGGGACATCTAAGAAAGGATTTAAGCCTGGTTTGGATGTACACCTGTATGATGAGGATGACCTGGACCGATTAGAGCAGGTAAACGTAACACCATAGGCCTGTTTCAAAGTTCTTTCAGTATTTAAACATTATATGAAAAGTTTGTGTGCTGTTACTAACTGAAGATGTTTTCCTCAAATACCTAATAATAAAGATAATAGTAAGATAATAGCAAGCACTTACAGATTGTTTACCACAGTTCAGGCGGCTCAGATGGTAAAGCGTCTGCCTGCAATGCAGGAGACCCGGGTTCGATCCCTGGGTTGGGAAGATCCCCTGGAAAAGGAAGTGGCAACCCACTCCAGTATTCTTGCCTGGAAAATTCCGTATATTGAGGAGCCTGGTGGGCTACAGTACACAGGGTCGCAAAGAGTCGGACGCGACTGAGTGGCTTTGCTTTGGTTTGCTTTTACAGATTGTTTGCTACATCCCAGGTACTATCCTAAGCATATAACATGTATTAATGTTCAGGGTATCCTAAAATATAGGGAGCATTGTTACTCCCATTTTAGAGATAAGGAAACTGAAGCACAGAATGGTTAAGTAACTTAAGACAGAAGAGCTGGTAGAATTGCTGGGATTCCAGCCTGCCAGCCTGGCTTCAAAGCTTGTACTATTTACTTGTGTTATGCCTATCTCAGTATTAAGGAAGTCTGCATACTAGAACAAGTCAGGAATGGACACCGCATACTCCTTAGCCTTTTCAGTATCAGGTCATGGATCTGAGTATTGCTTTCAAATGAATATTCTTTGGTGCCATTGTCACCATCAGAGCTTTGGGCTCCATGTGCCAGCAAAGCGTTTTTCTTCTCATTTTTAACGTCCAGTTGCCGTCGTAGGAGGAGATGGCATCGGAAGTGTTCTGTTGCTCCCTCCCCATTCAGTGCCACTTGCACTGTTTCTTCTTAGACTTGTGTTCATTTTTCTGCATTTTTCTTGAAATTGTGCCAATGCGTCTGTCGTGTCATGGTGTGTTCATTGCAGATGGAAGACTCAGAAGGGACAGTGAGACAGATAGGTGCATTCTCTGAGGGCATCAACAACCTAACTGTAAGTTGTAAAATGAATTTCAAATGTTCTAAAAATAAGCTTGACAGTCACCCCAAAGGGGACTGCCTGTGTCGTGGAGAGCTCAGGTGCCTGGTGTGTGTGACTCCCCCCTCTTTGTCTTCCAGCACATGTTAAAGGAAGATGACATGTTTAAAGATTTCGCTGCCCGTTCCCCCAGTGCCAGCATCACTGATGAAGACTCAAACGTCTGACCATAGCACCTGGATGAGAGCAGGGAGCCCTTCATCTTTGTTCCACTTTATCCCTCGGACACTCACAGTATCTACAGCAAGCCACAGACTGTATATTGTTTATCATTCCCACTTCTCATGTGGAAGTGGAGATGGAAAGCAGGGAATAGGTGCTGATTCTAAAGTTGCCATGACAATTGAGACACTGGTGAATGAGAGTATAATTGTTTCTCCTCTATTTAATGTAAAAAAAAATCTGTGATATATTATATTTAAAGTGTTGCATTTAATATGAGTATTTTACCATAGTCTTTCCATCCACACTCACACCATGGAGGATTTGGGAAGCAGTGACCAGTATGTGAATGAGTTTTGTCTTGTTGATGTGACACCACTGCGGCCCTCGAAGCAGGACGTTACATGCTTTCAAAATCAAATTGTGGGATTTCTTAGGTGTTCCGTGTGCCCACTATATGCCAGCCACACCTCCACTTGCCTCTCATTATCCTATTTTTTATATATTTTTCTAAATATATGTATATACTTAGTACATAGAAAATAGAACTTTTATTTTGTAACATAAGGAAGATGGTAAAAAGATCACGTTAAAAAAATACAGTGATCAAAATTTTCATATACCAGCTGTTTCTTGGAGAGGTTCAAATGATCTTTCTTTTCCCCAAACTGAATTCTAATCATGTTGATCATTCAGACTAAATTAACATATGTGAAATACCCCTTCTTTGATGACACCTCACAAAATTGTTGAATAGCTTTTTAAGAATTTCAGCCTTAGTCTTGGATCCTCTTAACTCATAAGGAAGAATCTGAGGGACATTTTAAGTGCTAGTAACCTGAGTGCATTCAAGAAACTCCCCCAAAATTTGTAGAAATAATTCCTGAAGAAACCAAAACAAAACCCTTTACAGTATTAAGCTTCTTATCTTCTGATCTTTGCTAAACATATCATTGCATCAAAATACTAACAGTCTGCCTAATGTTATTAATTGCATACTTCTCAGACTATCAGCAAATGGATTTTTTTAAAAAAGCTGAATACTTGTCTGAACATTTTATCTCAGATTTCAGTAACTCAAAGACTGCAAAATTAGTTTCATAATAGCTATAGTGTGATGATAAAATGCAGTTCATGTTTTTCTGTAGCACAGGGCCCAAATATTTTTTTTCTAAATATTCTTTATCAAGAAAATCGAAAGCTGCAATAAAAACTGTTATTGTGTTTATTATTTTCTAGAGGTATCAGAAAAATATCCAGTTTTTGGTTCACTACTGTGTCATTACTTATGATAGTCAGTGGTGGTAAAGACAGGTTTTGAAAAATTAGCGTAGGGTGGGCAGTTCAATATATGTCCAAAGACTTGCCTAATAAATTATTTGAATGTCAGTGGTATGACCTTTCAAGTTAGCAAGTTTCCAAGTTTCTTATCAAGGAACCCTGTGATACTAAATTACTATTTATTCATAATTAAAATGACTCAATGCTAATAATAGTTTTGCTCCCTGTTATGCACTATTTGGTAACTGTATTGGACATTCTGTATTTGTGTTTTAATGTGAACATATGTCACCATTTGAAAAACCATTTGTTATTCAATCCTGGTTAAAAATACCAGGAGACTGTTACAGATGCCAAATATTCCTAGCATGCATAGCCTGTATCAGCAGGTGAAAATTTAAAGCCTTTGCTTCAAAAACTTTCTCATGAAAGGAAACACAGGCAGCTGAGCTTGGGGGATGAGGAATCATGGCAAAGGGGTATCGGAAACGCAAACAGAAATGACTTGCCTACAAGTTTGAAGAAGTTAGTTGTGGAAAGAAGTTAGTTATATACATATGTTTCTTTCTTTAAAGAACTAAATAGTATTTTTTAATGAAACTAAAACTTGAAAAAAGGAAACCTGTCTCAGAAGAGGTTACCGAATATTTAAAGTTAGGTGAATATAACTAGAAGACACATGATTTTTTTGTGAAAGTTAGTATCTCTGACTTAATAAACCAGCAGGACTCAATATGAGTCCAACACACCCAGTTGGCAAACAGGAAGACCTAACATGTTTGTTTAGCTGTGTGTATATATGCTTGCTTGTAGAGTTCGAAAACTTGGACCACGTTCACGGATGTGACTTCACTGCAAAATTTTTACTCTGAAAAAGAACAGTTCACGTGCTCAATATCTAGAAGCAGTGTTCAGCGTGTGCAGGGAAATGGGGCAGAAACCATCACAACAGCTGTCTCCAAAGGACAAAGAGGTTCTCGGCGTCTGTGAGGTGGTCAGTGGAGCTATCATCCACGCGGCTCAGAAACTGAAGGCCTATCTTGGATTTGAAGACACGCTGAGCAATCTGTGCCCAGCTCCAAACACTCTCAATGAGATCTTCTTAATCCACTTTGTCACTTTCTGCCAAGAGAAAGGAGCTGACAAGTGGCTCACCACCACCAAGATGACCACGCACCAAGCCTTCATGTTCGGGGCAGATTGGGTTTGGACCTTCTGGGGATCTGATAAGCAAATACAGCTCCAGCTGGCCGTGCAGACACTGCAGATGGCTTCCCTTCCTCCTGTGGAATCTGACCCCTCCAACCCAGAGTCCAAGGCAGAGGAGTCTTCCAGCAAGACAAGTAGGTTTGACAAGCTGGAAGAATTCTGTAACCTGATAGGAGAGGACTGCGTTGGCCTGTGTATCATCTTTGGTGTGCCAGGAAACCCTAAAGACATCCGAGGAGTTGTCCTGGACAGTGTCAAGAGAGAGACAATGAAGGGTCATCTGCCAGGAGGGACAGCTGTGGCGCGATTCATCCTGGAAACCAAAGATTGTATCTCCATCAGGGAGCTGCTTGGAAACTGTCTGAGTAAGAAAGACTGGCTGAGAGAGGTGGGCAAGGTTTATATTAGCATCCTCTGAACTGGCCGTGTGAGATGAGACTGGCCTGTAAGATAAAAAGGAAACAAAAATATTTTCTTCTAATAAGCAAGTTTATCCCCTCATGGGATTTTTCCCTCCCCTCCCCCCTACCCCACATTGAATGAAAACCACCTCCTGGGTCAAAACATCCTAGGGTCATGATTATGGACAGAAAAAAAGCCTACCTGTATTTCAGGGAAAATGGAAAAATTTAGCTTAATCTTTTATTTATTATTCAACAATAAAAGTGGGAGAAAAGGATAATAAAGTCACCCTTCAGGTTCAACTTGAAAACAAATTGTGTTTGATAAGAGTAAGTCTAGCATTTAAAAGTGTAAAATGAGTTTTGACTGCTGTGGCTGGGAGGTGGGGAGGACAAGGGGGTGCATATGACTACAGAACAGGTTTAGTTGTATTTATTAATAAAAACCAGTTTCAACTCAGGACACATAAGCAAACCTGAGCCTAACTCTCTTCTTCTCTGCCCAAGCTCCCACCTCATCCCAAGCTGCCTGCTCTCTGCAGAGAGGGCCTTGGTGGGATCCCTCTGGGACTCATTTGAGTGTTAGCTTTACTGAAGATTTTAACCCAGATCACAATCCCTTGTAATAATGATTAATATCTATTTAGCATTTGTAGTAAGGAAACTATATTCATATATAAAAACTATCTTTACTTAAAAGCTGGGGTGAATTAAAACAGCACTCTTTGGAAGGAAAAATAATTTTTCCTCTGCTTCTAGAGGACAGAAGCAAAAAGAATGCTTAAAAGTGTANACTCTTTGGAAGGAAAAATAATTTTTCCTCTGCTTCTAGAGGACAGAAGCAAAAAGAATGCTTAAAAGTGTAAAGGGAAGCTTGATTCATTCACACATGATTGTTAAATGCCTGTTACTTGAAAGGTCCTGTTTTATGCCTTGCCAGTCCAGCAGTAAAAAGAACAAAGTCCCCACTCTCAGGGAGTTTCCCTGTTAATGGTGGAAGATGGACGATAAATAAATACCTGCATGTATTTTAAATGCATATTTAAATAAATGTCGGGTGGTGTAAAGAAAAAGGAGATAACTATTTTATAAGGTGGTTAAGGAAGGCCTCAGAGAGAAGGGGCAATTTACCAGAAATGTGAAAGGAGAGAGATCGTCAGTGCAGGTATCTGGGAAAGTGTTCTAGACATAGGCATCTGCAGATGCCAAGGGCCTGACCTGGGAGTGGAGTTGATGTGTTCGAGACACAGTAACAGGCAGAGTGAGCAGGGAGAAGACTGACAGGAGACGGTCCGGGAAGGAGCCAGCAAACAGGAGAAGCAGATCACACTTGTAAGGACTCGATTTTATTCTGAGTGCTATGGGGACAGACAGGCCGTGATCTGACTTGGACACTAAAACCCTCACTCAGTTGCTGGGTGAAGCCTAGACTGTAGGGAGGAAAGAGTAGCCGCAGAGCCCACGGGAAGCTAGGAAACTATTCTAATAACTCAGGTGAGAAAAGACCTGGGGCTTCCCAAGTGGCTCAGTGGTAAAGAATCCTCCTGCCAATGCAGGAGGCCTGGGTTCAATCCCTGGGTCAGGAAGATGCCCTGGAGAAGGAAATGGCAACCCACCCCAGTATTCTTGCCTGGGAAATCCCATAGACAGAGGAACCTGGTCGGCTACAGTCCATGGGGTCACAAAGAGTTGGACACAACTGAGCATGCATGCATGCTTACACACACAGTCACATACACATATGAGAGAAAAGAGTGGCCTCAAGCAAAGTGGCCAAAGAGAAGGTGTGAAGAGGTCAGATTAGGAACAGTTGATGGTAAAGCATGCATCATTTGCTGATGATTGGATGCAATATATCACAATTAGAACATTTATTTCCAAACTTCTTAAATATGACATTCTTAAATAAGACATTCCTTCATTCCAGGAAACCAAAAGTTCAAGGAAAATATTTTAGCCCTCTGTCTTCAATAAATAGGTACAAATACCCCTATAATGATTCCTACTTGGAATATGCCTGGAAGGTTATACTACTCAGTCAATTTCTGTTTCCTTGTACAGAGTGACCCCTGTCTGCATCAGTGCTGTGTAGAGCAAGCTATCAAGGAGGTGGTATAATAGAGTAAAAAAGAGTATGCAACTTGGAATCAGATGTGGGTTTGAGTCTCAGTTCTTTCTAAAAGTAGAATCTAGAGGTTTAACTCTTTTTTTAATCTGTGAAAGGTGAATGACTTCAGCTAATTCAAAAGAGACAATGCTTGTGACAACACTTTTCTATTTTATTGAAGGGTAAGCTTACCAAAATTTTGATGTGTCTAGTACAAGTTGTAAGTATTCATGTGATAAAGAGCTGGAAGATATAAATCAAAGACTCACCATGTTTTTTTTTAATGAAAATAAAGATGTGAAATTTTTACTGATTTAAAAAATACTGTATTCTCATGTTTTTCTAAATCAGCATTTTTGTGTAAAAAGTTAAGTACAGAAGAATAGAAAGTTACTTCTTCATGAGTCTTACACTGACCCCTGTACCAGTTTACTGTTTACCATTCCAGAACTTGTATTGTGTATTAAACATATTTTACACAAGTGTAATCATATGATCTACAAATGCCTTATAACCTACATTAAAAAAAAAACTTCACTGAATATTGTGGACAATTTTCCACGTTAATACGTTTATATTCACTTTCTTCTTTTCTGGGCTAACATCAATGGTTCTCAACCCTGCGTGCATATTAGATTCACTTGGGAAACTTAAACCAAAAAAAAAAAAAAAAAACCACACCAAGGCTGCAACACACCTGGACTAACTGATCAGTATCTCAGAGGGAACCAAGACAGATTTTTTTTTTTACTCTCCTAAAGTAATTATAATGTTCAACTAGGATTAAGATATGCCTAAGTAGTCCTTTCTGTTGTATGTATACACCATGATATATTTAATGTGTACTATCTGGATGGATATTTGGGTTCCGAAGTCTATCCACATACTTGGATATTTACATATTGTCTATTTAACATGCTTGTGAATCAACATACTTCGCTCTCTTTTTTTGGTAAGCATGTATTTATTTTTGAATTCATTTTTCCAGCTTTACTGAGATATAATTGGCATGCAGCACAAGATAAGTTTAAGTGTACATCATCATAATTTGACTTAATACATTATGAAATGATTATCACAATAAGTTTACTTAATATCCATCTCATAGAGATATAAGAAAAAAGAAAAAAAAATTTTTCCAGGTGACAAGAACTCTTAGGATCTATTCTCTTCACAATTTTCAATTTTACCATACAGCAGTGTTAATTATAATCTTCATGTTATCATTACATCATTACATCATTAGTACTTTATTTATCCTATAACTGGAAATTTGATTCACTTACTTTTTATGTTATTTTTTTAATTAAAAATAGCTCCCTGACAGTCATTGGATTAATGCAGATTTCAAATATAGCAAAAACCAACTGTAAAAAAAAAAACCAATGTTTAAAATTGACCTACACAGACTTGGCTACATAATTTGTGGGACCAAAGGCAAACTGAAAATACAGAGCCCTTTGTAAAAAATTTCAAGACAGAGACAACAAATATTAAGCCAAGCACAGGGCTCTTCTAAGTGTAAGTCACAAGCCCACGAAACTGACCTGACTTCTACATTTTGTTGAGTTATTTGGTCATGAAGGGTCAAAAAAAGATTTTTTATCATGATTGAGTGATTATACCTCCAACATCTTTTCTAACTGAAAAATTATGTTATTCTTACTACTATATACATGATAGTACATGCTTTACTCTTCATACTGCATGAAACAGCATTATTGCCCATTTATAGCTTTACAAGTGACATTTTGACTTTCAATATAGAACAAATTTCATAGTATTTGATGTCAGAGAAAACAATAAGAATTTTCTGACTCTTCTAATTCCAGTTACATTGATCTACTTTAGTCTTAGGAAGAGAGTAAAACAAAAGGAAGAAATCATAAGCAGTTTGAACGAGGAACTGAATCTCTTAACGTCTTGCTTAGAAACTGAGAAGTCTCTGGACATGAACTAATTCTCTAAGGATTCATTCACATTTGTCCCTAAATGTCTATGGGATAGGACTTGCACTTTATTCTACTAAAATATACAAAATTGAGAGAAAAAGTGGTGCTGCATTGACCCTAAGCTTAATTTGAATGGCCACCTTTTATATTATGGCTTTGAAAACATTACTCACCTAATCACAGGGGTTTTCAAGAAGATGATACTGTTCCCATTTTCTCTGAAACTGAAGCTCAAGAGAGTTTAGGTGGGCTTGCCCAAGATCACAAAGAAACAGAGTCTGGATTCAAATCCCACATCCATCTGACTTAAAGGCCAAGCTTTAAATCTTAAAAATGGAGGACAAGAGAATACCATGTGAAGATGGAGACAGAGATTAGAGTCATGTGTCTACAAACCAAGGAATGCCAGAAACTGCCAGCAACCGTCAGAAACTAGGAGAGAGACAGGCATAAACAGATTCTCCGTCAGACCCTCCAGAAGGAACCATCTCTTGCCAACACCTGGATTTTGGACTTCTAGTTTCAGAACTGTGAGAGAATTAATGTCTGTTGTTTTAAGTCACCCAGTTTCTGGTTCTTTGTTATAGCAGCCCTAGGAAACAAACACATCTAATACACCGTACTTCCACTTTGGAACAATAATGGGATGATAAAGAGGCCAGAAAAGATGAGGAAGGTGATCACTACAAATACTTGTTATTATCATGCTGCATGCTTACTGATGCCCACAGCACACTGACTGTTCCCAGCTAGACGACTATGGGACACCTCCACACCTGCTCTACCTGATACGCTTAACAGGGCTCAGTTCTGTTTGTTTCCAGTTGTTCTAATTATAATCATGTACTTTAAGTATTATACACATCGATTGAAAAAAATAGAGGATAATTTTATTAAGGGTTGTATGTTAATCCATCCTAGGGTAGAAAATAAGAGAGCTCCTCTAAGGATTACCATCATTTTCTAGGTCCTGATGAGTTCTCCCTTTTTGTAATTCTAACCTGATCTACAAACAAGCTAACAGAATCACTGATTATCGTGAAAGCCTATAGGCGCTTTCTTAGTGGTTCAGAGCATAAAGAATCTGCCTTCAATGCAGGAGACCCAGATTCAATCCCTGGGTTCGGAAGATCCCCTGAAGGGAAGGGTCACCCACTTCAGTATTCTTGCCTAGAGAATTCCATGGGCAGAGGAGCCTGGCAGGCTACAGGCCATGGGGGTCTCAAAGGGTTGGACGGAACTGAGAGACTAACTTTTCCACTTTCTAATTTTCAAAGCCTAAATGACACAGGGGATCAATATGCTAATATTATACCCAGATATATGATGGATTAGGATCACACATTCTAAAGATGGTGAGGTCGAGTTTTAAACTCAACCCTCTTCCAACTATTAGAACACTCTACACATGGACATCACCAGATGGTCAATACTGAAATCAGACTGATTATATTCTTTGCAGCCAAACATGGAGAAGCTCTATACAGTCAGCAAAAACAAGACTGGGATCTGACTGTGACTCATATCATGAACTCCTTATTGCCAAATTCAGACTTATACTGAAGAAAGTAGGGAAAACCACTAGACCATTCAGGTATGACCTAAATCAAATCCCTTATGATGATACAGTGGAAGTGACAAATAGATTCAAGGGATTAGGTCTGATAGAGTGCCTGAAGAACTATGGATGGAGGTCTGTGACACTGT